TGCTGGGACGTGGTGCATTAGTAACTGGCCTCTGCCGTGGGACGGAGGCAGGCCGCACTGGTGTTGAATTTCGTGCAATAAGGAGGGCGGGCTGTGAGCCATGGAGCGGCTCTTCCCACCTGAACGTGCCAGTCCCTGGGCTCCTGCTAAGCCGCTTCTGAGGCAGCGGGTCCGGGCAGCCCACGCTGCCCCCCGACACCCTCTCTGGGGGCGGTGCTGTGGCCCCTGGGCCCCGTGTGAGCACTCCCCCGTCTCAGCGTCCCCTTGCCTCCTGGGAAAGCCCCACCAAGTCCAGGTTTGGGCCTTGTGACGTTGGTGTTAACAGCCTTGTCTTTCCTTTTTCGAAAAATAGCAAAACACCGAATTGCTCATAAACCTCACTCCAAGCCCAAAACTTCAAATAGTTTTGAAGCGGATTTTGCAAATGTTGACTCCAAGGATCTGCTCGCGGACCAGGAGCTGTGGGCTCGGCTGGAAGAGCTGGAGCAACAGGAGGAGCTGCTGGGCGAACTTGAGAGGTACTGACAGCGGGCCCCTCCCCCAGAGCTGCCTCCACTCAGCTCCTCGTCACCCTCCTCCTGGGTGAGAGAGCGTGTGCTCCTCGGGGACACAGGACACGCACGGAAGTATGGATATCTCATATTACATTTAAAAATATATATATTTTTTATTGATTTTTTACAGAGAGGAAGGGAGAGGGATAGAGAGTTAGAAACATCGATGAGAGAGAAACACGAACCAGCTGCCTCCTGCACATCCCCTACTGGGTATATGCCCGCAACCATGGTACATTCCCTTGACCGGAATCGAACCTGGGACCCTTCAGTCCGCAGGCCGACGCTCTAGCCACTGAGCCACACCGGTCAGGGCTCATACGTTACATTTTGAATGAAGTGTTTTTATGTTGAATAACTTGTTAAAGAGGAAACGCGCTGAGTGTGTGTGGCCGGGACGCGTCTCCGCTTTCTTTGCGCACGTCTGTTGTTGCGGGCAGTTGGTGACCGGGCCGGAGTCAGCTCCATGAGCGTCCCCTGCGGGGAGAAGCATGGCGCCGGCTGCCGGGGCTCCTGGGAGTCTCACTCCGCAGGCTCCCGGCTGCTGTGCCATAGGCAGTGCCTAGTCTCCGTGTAAAATGGCGCAGAAAGGATAGATTTCCTCCCCCTCCTCTGCACTCCAGGCATTTTTTATGAACTGATACTGTTTCATTTTTCAATCGGTTTAGTGGTGTTCTTGGTCATGATCTCTCTTTTTTGCATCATGGCATTTCAGTCCCATTGCACTTTGGGTTTTGTTATTTTTATAAGGTCCTCCAATCCTGTGTAGAATGAAGCATGAAAAATGTGCATGCATGTATGTATATGAATAAAGTTGTGTGCACATGTATACATTATTTTTTAAAATCATAACACATGCTTGTAAATGTAGAAATAGAAGATAAGAGTGTTCATGTTCTGTGGCTTTAGTGTCTGATCTTGAAACAGAGATACAGAATCCTTTGAATTTCTTAAAAATTTCTGGTAGTGTTATTTATATTGTGCTTGTATTTTATATGGCCAGCGTCCTCTTTGCAAAGATTAGAAAATTTCGTGTACTTTATTGTACTTTTGTTTGAATAACCACAGTACACAGAATCAGCAGAGGAACTAATGTGTTTCTGTTTATTTCAGAAAATTTTTGTTGACCTAGAATTCTAGTTAAAAAGTATCCTATTCGAAATCTTAAATTTGACCCATCGACGTGAACTGGAAATGAGAAAACGTAAGACGCTAGTGTGTGTTCCACTAGCTCTTCTCCTCTTTTCTCTACCAGCCAGCCTCCCACTGTGATTACAAACGGAGAAGACACAGCGTCTTCCGAAGAGGAGCAGGAAGACGCCAGCGCACGTGTGAACGGACGTGTGAACGGACACGTGAACGGGACGCATCCAGCGGCTGAGGCCGCGGCTCCAAGCTGTCGGCCCGCGGACGACATCGTTGGGGAGCTGCTCCGCAGGCCGAGCTGCGCTGTGAACGGCTCTCGTTGCCCCCTCGGTGATGAGGCTGAGGATGGTGACGACGACGATTCTCTTGGGTCAGGGGCCAGTTCTGTACCAGCCATATACTTTTCTCACACCGTCGAACCCAAGCGGGTGGGTATGCTGCTACCTTTACTCCTGTCGGGTCTCCTAAAACACGGTCTTCGCAGCGACTGATGTTCATGGTGCCAAACAAGACCGTGTCTTGTCCCTGGTTCTGAACAATTTATTGAAAAAGAAAAAGGGGGAAAAGTCTGAGTTGTTAGCACGCATCGGGCCAGGGGCCTCTGCAGTGGATTGGATGTGGGGGGCTGGGAGGGGTCGGTTCCAGGCGATTGCTGCCGCCCCCCCGTCCCTCATCACAGCTCCCTCAGGAATTCCAGAGTGAGTTGTATGGTGGGCGTTTGGTGTGGAGGGTGTTTGAAAGTGACTGCATTAGTTAAGTTTTTAATTATACCAGGTTGTCGTTTCTGTGTGAGCTGGCATAAAATGAATAGGAACATCATGAGCAAGAAGGAAAAATGTAGGAGGAAGTAAAAATTAGTCTCTTTTCTGACAAAGTAAATATAAACATCTGTGGGCAATCATGACTCCAGAATCTTGGCATTTAGAGCTGGGGTTAGAGCTTCTCTTTAGCATCCACAGACGTCTGTGCAGCCACCCTGCCCCGAGGCGGTTAGGTTGGGGAGGCTGGGCTCCGGGAGAAGGACAGGCCACGTCGCACCACCCGTGCCTCTCCCGCTCCGCACCCAGTGTGAGGAGCCCCGCGACTCCTTTCTCATGGTCTTTCTCAAGGACACGGCCCGGAGACCACGGCTGCTCTCAGTTGAGCGCTCCTTCCTCCTCGTGTCCCCGCAGGGCCTGCTGTTCGTCCCAAGTGCCTGTGATGATGATTTAATGAAACGTGTTTAAAACATATTTGATATTTCTCAGGTCCCTTAAGTTATCCCTGCTCTGATGTGAGGGGAAATGATTATCCGCTTTTTAATGCTCTGATACTGCAGCCTGAAGGGAGCACTTACCGAATTCCATGGGAGAAAGGGCTGATTCGTCAGAAAGTTCGCTTTGTGATTCCTTGGGCCTTGCATTTCTCGTACTTGCAGCCGGACGGCGCGGGAGGAGTGGGGCCTGTGCAGGGTGTTGGGGGTGGTGTTCATGGGACAGTGCAGGGTGCCGAGCAGGGCACCGAAGGACAGAGCCCTGAGCAGGTCCGCCTTGGTTTTCAGTGTCTTTACCGAAAGCATCATGGACGAGTGCCCTGCCGGTTCAGACCCGTTGCTCAAGGGTCGGTCTGACCGCGTCTCACGCTGCACCTCGCTTCCGTGCGGGAGCACAGGCGGCCCCGCTGCTGTCGCTGCCGTCGGTGCTGAGGGCGCTGGTGTGGTTTGGCTTGGACTTGATTGCTCGGGAGGATTGTCATTTTCGCTGTGAACGTTTTAGGTCCGAATCAACACTGGGAAAAACACCACCTTAAAGTTCAGTGAGAAGAAGGAAGAAGCCAAACGGAAGCGAAGGAACAGCTGTGGTGGCCACCCGGCCCCGGAGCTGCCCACCATCAGGACCCCTGCGGACATCTACAGGTGGGTGGGCCCCGCCTGCACCAGCCTCTGCAGGGCCCCGAGGCGTCCCCTGGCAGCTGCCCGGCCAGCACGGTCCCGTCCAGAGCCTGGGCGAGCGCTCACTTCCCCTCCCCTCCTGGCCAGCACTTTAAAATGTTCCCGATGGATCTAGTCAAACTACGTGTCTGGAACTTTAGAAATGGAGGGGTGTCCGGTGGGCTGGGCGGGGCCTTGGCACGGCCGAAGGGACGGGTCGCTGCCGCCTTGGCTGGGCCTGGTGCCGGCACTGCCTGACGGTCGGCACGGCCCACGTTCTGGAAATGGCAAAGGCTGCTGCCTGCCTCCTAGGCAGCCTCAGTTATGGTGGGGTTTCGGCAGATGAAGCTGTTGTCACCCAGAACGTGTTTATAGTGAAGGGCTGTGTTCCATTAGCCCAGGTTACAGTTTCAAAAGCAGGAAATACGTCCTTTGAGGCTACACAGTTATTTTGATGGTGAAAATGTTCGGTACACGTTTGAATAAAACATGTCAGGCTAATTTCTGCAGCAGGTTTCACACACGCTGGCCCGCGTGTCGGCGTGCGTGCCTCAGCGGATGTGTGCTGTGGCCGCAGGGTCTTCGTGGACCTGGTGAACGGGGCGTACGTCCCTCGGAAGTCCATCCTGAAGTCGCGCAGCCGCGAGGACAGCGTGTGCAGCGACACCAGCGAGGGCAGCGCCGACTGCGAGGAGCGCCGCGGGCTCCTTCGGAGCGTCAGCTGCGAGGACGCCCTGGGCAGCGACGCCGGCGAGAGCATTCTGGAGGAGGAGCCGGAGCCGCTTCCAGGGACGCTCTCGCCCGCGCCCGGGACGCTCGAGGTGTGTGTGTGTGTGTCTCGTGTCACGCGGTGTCCTTGGCCGATTCCTGGGAGGTGGGTGGTGGCCGCGGCCTTCACGCCCTCGCTCCCTGTCCCTGTCCCACGTGTTCCAGTGGGTGCGGAAGGTGTTTCTCTAAGCGGCCTCGCTGTTGTGCTGTCTCCCAGGTCTGGTCTATCAGTCGTTCGTTTCATTGCCTTTAAATTACTGTTTTACGTATTTACTATTGAAGTTAAACTGGGTAACGGCATTGTTCACCTTGTCGCTTAGCTTTGTATGTTTACTCGCACTCACAGGACCTAGTCAAGTCCAGGCTTGTACTTGTTTGATGAATAGTGTTTTTACAAATTATTACTTAAGTGCTACGTGGTCTTCACTAACTTGTACCCTGGTTTACAAGGTAAGCAAACTGTGCATGAAAGTTTGTCCGATTCAGTGTGCACATGAGTTCTTAGAAGATGCCAGGGGGAGGCTCCAAATACCAGAAATCTTTAAAAAAAGTTGTAACAACTTGGTCTTTATCGATCTCCCTGTAAAGCGGTCAGGTGGCCGCTGAAGACGGCCTGGTGTGTGCCCGCATTTGTGCTCAGTCCTGTGGCTCCAGTGGAGCCTGCGTGCCAGGCGGCCCAGCAGACGCCGTGGCCTTCGGGTCTGCCACACGGTCAGTTGTAGCGAATGCTGAGGCCAGCGCTCATCCCACTGGTGTCAATGTTGTCACTAAAAATAGATACATTTGTATTGATTTCAGAGAGGAAGGGAGAGTGGGAGGGAGACATCAGTGATGAGGGACCCCCTGGCTCATAGGTCGATGCTCAACCTCTGAGCCACGCTGGCCGGGCAGCGGTGTTACTTTTCAGGTTCCACTCTTACATAAAGTTGAGGCGAGACACAGTGTGCATGATACCCATAAGTGCATGAGCGGACGCCATGTCGAGTCGTCGCTGCTGCGAGACGGAGTGCCTGTGGGCCAGGCCCCGCGCTGTGTGAGCTGTCAGAGTGGACTTCCACATGGTGGTGTGATTAAGATGTTGTGATGGCATTTGATTTCTCTGAGCAATTTGTATTTTGATGTTTTTTTTAAATCCAGAAATCTTGTGAATTTACTTTTAATGAAAAGAAATGTGCCATTGACTAATACAGGATAAAGGATTGTGTGGCAGCTTTCTTGCGTTTTATTACCACACTCCGGCGTTTGTCTTGTAGGCTTTTTCTGGAACTGTAATAGAGAAAGAATTGTCGCCCAGCCTCGCCCCGCACCCGGCCACGGCCCACCCTGTGCTGCCCACGATCCCTGAGCGGAGAGAAGTCCTGTCAGAAGGGCCGGAGGTCCCCAAGCGGGTGTCCAAGTTCAAAGCCGCCAGGCTGCAGCAGAGGACCTAGGCTGCCAGGCAACCTCGTGCTGCATCGTCTAGAGTTCGTACCGCTGATGGCTCCTCGGAGAGTGGAAGGAGGTGTCCTCAGTTAATTTGGAAGCGGATTCTCCTCCTCGTCGGTGGAGATGCGGATCCGAGTGAGCCCAGGACTTCCCAGTCTGCTTGCTCGTCGTCCTCCGGCACCGGCGACACCGCTGCTGCCTCCGATGCCACGGCTCTCGGATCGCTTCTCAGAGAGGTTGTTCCTGGGCGTGGTTGGTGTTTCGAACTAAACGCCGGCAGATCCGTGCCAGCTGTGACGTGCACACCGCATGGACCATGTAGAGGAACGTAAGATTCAGACCCAGCAGTTCTGTTCCTGCTTCAGCCTTTGAAAGGCCCTTTAAGAAACCTTCTGGCGGGTTCTGCAGCGAGGTGCCCTTTAACCCCGGGACTGCCGCTGTCCTCAGCAGAAGCTCCCGTGGCCTGTGGGCAGGTTTCTTGGGATTTTGTAAAACTTTTTTTTTTTTAAGTAAAAATTTTATGAAACTTGGTCTCGAAAATGCTGTGGACTTTATGACTCAGAGCCGCGTGTGGCAGTGGCTGATGTATGCACGCTCTGCGAGCACCGCCACCCTCGCGGCCCCGGGCAGCCTCCGCGTGTGCAGTGTAACGGGTGCTGTATTTGGGGAAGAAAGAGCACGTCTTCATGATCAAAAAGAGTTTAAAATAAGAAATTTTATGTCCTGGTCTTCCCAACCCTTCATTCTCTAAGGATGAATCGAAATGTAATATTTACTTTTAGCAAAACTTAAAATGCAGAAATGTGCTCTAATAGAAAATTGTGTCGCACGTGTAAATCCTCAGCTTGATGCCAACATGTGGCTTTTAAAAGCATCCTGCTCTCCTAAAACAAGCCATCGATGCCCGTCCCCTATTCACGGCTGTGTCTGAAGGCTATTTATAGCTCCTTTAATGAATTCTTTCTTAAACAAAGTGAAGTTATGTCCTAGAAAAGAGGAGTGTTTGTAACTGGAGCAGCGGCACTAAGAGTCCATGAAGATGGCGCTTTAACGGGGCTGAGCCGAGTCCCACACGCTGAGGGTAACGCAGGGGCTGTGTTCTTTACTCAATCCTGAGCGACTTTGCCTACAGTTTTAGTGAAAAACTGTTTTCGCTCAGCCCATCCCCCACAAAACCCGAAACCAAACCAGAGGACAGCAGTGCCCCCGGAGGCGCCTGGCGGAGCTCTGGCAGCTGCTGGGGGCCGGGCGCCTGGGCGGCCTGTGGGGGCTGCGTGCGCCCCATGGGAGTCAGTGGGGCCGTGAACCAGCCTCCGTGTCCCTGCCTCGTCTCCTGCCTCCTGGCCTCGCGGTCTGTCACTTCTCGCAGTAGATGGGGTCCCTTCCAGGGGACGGCGGGGAGCAGGCCGGCCAGCAGCGCTCTCACCAAGTTGGTGCGCGAAGGGCTCCGCCGGGCTCTCAGCCACTGCGACAGCAGCAGACCCGCGGCCTGTGCACCGGGCCAGCGTTAGACCGGAGAAAAGCTGCAAAACCAGCGCCACCCCCATCCCTGCCTCCTCACCAGCGCCTCCTACATTCCCTCATCTCACAGGACCCAGTCCCTTCTCCCGGCCGGGTCCCCCGTGCCTGCCGCTCACTGCGCTGCCGTCTGCTCCGCGGCTCACCCACCGCCTCACTGCGGCCTTCCCTGCTCCGGCCCGGCAGGGCCCCGCGTGTGCGGTCCTGCTCCTGTCCCCACCAGGGTCTCCGCCAGGCCCCACGGCGCCACCCGTTTCCCCGTCTCCCCCGACCCTGATGCGTTTACCGAGTTCTAGGCGTCTGTGGGCAGTTCCTCATTTTTGTCTGCCACCGAGTGCGGCTGCGCTTTTGGGAAGAATACCCCAGGAGCTCATCCTGCAGCGAACTCACTCCTAAACGGTAGTGCTCACACAAGTCCGGGTTCATGGTGCCCCTCTCTGCCCCGCAGAAATCCATTTATTATTATTTTACTTTATTTTTAAAAAACATGCCTTTATTTCAGAGAGGAAAAGAGAGGGGACAAGGAGATGGAAACATCAGTGATGAGAGAGAATCATGGATCGGCTGCCTTCTGCACACACTGGGGACCGAACCTGCAACCTGGGCCTGTGCCCTGGACTGGAATCACCCAGGACCCTTCAGTCCACAGGCGGATGCTCTACCCACTGAGCCAAACGGGCCGGGGCAGAAATCCATTTGTTAACAACACTGCACGGGATGGGGCACCCGAGAGCCTTTTCCATGCGACTTAGGTTCGTTCCTTCCTTTCCCAGCCTTTCCTGTGATTGTGAGTCATTTGTTTTTTTGTTTAAAAAATTTTTTTTAAATCTTCACCCAAGGATATTTTTCCTGTTGATTTCTAGAGTAGAAGGGAACGGGGGTGGGGAGTAGAGAGAAACATCGATGTGAGAGAGACATCGACTGGCTGCCTCCGCAGGTGTCCTGACCGGGGCCCTGACCAGGAACTGAGCCCACCAGTCCTTGGTCCGAATGCCGACACTAACCACTGAGCACACCGGCCAGGGCGATGGTGATTCACTTGTCATCTGGGTTTGCTCCACACTGGTTCTGTTTTCATGGTTTATTTGGGGGAGACTGTGGTTCTAGGGGTCACAGCTCCGTGAAAAGGTGATGAGAGAAGCCTCCTCCCTGCCACCCACTCCCATCTCCGTCCACGTCTCTGTCCCACCCTGGGGCCCTTTCTCAGGTCCTCGATCCCGGGGCCCTGAGGGATCTCATAGCCTGTCTCTCACTCTGGGTTCGCCCGGTGCGTCCTGACGGTTCGCCTGGGTGTGCGTCGTGGGGAGACCGTCCCAGAGCCAGTGCCGCTCCCCGTCACGCCTGGGGTCCGAATGGAGGGCTTTTCCGCTGTAGCCGGTCTCCCCGCGCTGGGTTCCTTCTCGTGCTGAGGCTCACAGCGCTGTCTCGGGAGAGGCCGGGGCTGCAGGGCCCTCTCACCGCGCCCTTTGACCAGGGCATCCGTCCTGCCCCGAGTGTTCTCTGAAAATGCTTGCGTCTCATTCTGCGCAGCCTCCCGCGGCTCCGGGCCAAGGCCAGACCTGGAGCCCGTGGCCTGACAGGCCTGTGTGTGTGTGCAGGCCGCGACCGTGTCTCATGTCCGCCCCCAGCTGGGCCTGGCCTGCACTTACCCGGCCCAGGGGCCTCCACCCGCCCCCTTGGTCCCCCCGCAGGTAGAAGCACATTTCCCGCCGTGTTCGTGACCGTGGGCAGTGCTGTGCCCGTCCTTTCTCCTGGCACCGTCCTCATGGTCCTGCCTCGTTCCGTGGTCTTCATGGAGCCCAAGGCTGGACCCCATTGCCCGAGCTTTTAGGGCTGAACCTCTCGGTTGACTCTTGGGACACCCCTAACCCAGGGGTGCTGGTGCCCCGTCTGCTCCTCACACCCTCGGTCTTGGGGATCCCAGTCTACAGCTTCAGCAACGCTTGGGGTATTTTCCTTTATCTTCTGAGCCCCTGAACGGGAAGTTTAAAATGCCAGACTGCCCGGCCGGCGGGGCCCAGGGCTTCAGTGTCAGCCTATGACCCAGGAGGTCACGGTTGGATTCCTGGTCAGGGCACAGGCCCAGGATGCGGGCTCCATCCCCAGTGTGGGTTGTGCAGGAGGCAGCCGGTCCATGTTCCCTCTCGTCATTGATGTTTCTTTCTCTCTCTCCCTCTCCCTTCCTCTCTGAGATCAATAACAATATGTTTAAAAAATAGAAATAAAAATAAAATGCCTGGACTGGACAGAACCTGGATGTTGTGGGGCCTGAGTGTCCGGCCCAGACTCCTTCCGGGAAACACCCATCCTGCCTCCGTCAGCCGGGTGGACGCCCTGCCCACGCAGCTCAGCCCGGCGCGGGCACCGGCAACTGGCCTGCCCTGCTGGTGGCGAAGGGCGGGCGCAGGGCGGCAGAGCCGGCTGCGTGTCCGCGGGTGCGATCTTTGTGTTACAAACGCTGCTTCCAGCCCACATTAACCCCGTGATACGCGCATGCTGCCAGCTCCCGCTGAGCCTTTTAAATCCAACCCAGGAAACGGCGCCATGTTCTCATTTCTGCACAAACTCGTCTTCCAGGGGCAGAACTTCAACTGCACGGCGGCCGGACGACCCGGCCCCAGACAAACGGACCGTCTGCTAATCACGCCGTTTAATTGGTCAGACCCCCTGGATCGGGTGG